CACCTGCGGAAGCGGGAGTGAGCGCCGCCTGTCGCCCTGCCGCTCCCGGCCCCTCCGCCGCTCCCCGAAGCCACAGCCCTTGCGTATCTTCTAGAAAATAAAACCGTCTAACCGCGAGTACTGCCTTTGCCTCTTCCTTCCTTCCCCCTTCAGGGGCTCAGGCTGCTCCCGGGCCAGGGAGAGCCAGCCCCCCACTCCCGCAGCCACGCGTCCTCAGAACGCCTGCCGGGCACAGGACTCCGGCCCTCAGCTGCCTTTCTCCCCCCACAAACCCCAGCCTGTCGCGTCTCGGGACCCCAGGAGCCGGCCTGCACCTGAGACAAGACCTCCAGGCACTTGTGGGGAAGACCCCCGAGCCTGAGTCCAAGCAGATGCCATCAGGATTCCGCAGGCGGCTCAACTAACAGCTGTCTTTTTGCAAACAATCCGCCACTTCCTTCCCCCTCTGGCATCTACGCAGGTGCGCTGTTCTTAACACTCATCTTTTTCCCCCCTCTTTTCTTTTCCTTCCCTCTGGGAAGTTTCCTTCTCCCTCTAGGAACCCAGTTCCCCTCCCTCACTAGGACCCGGCCACTCTCCTCCCCTTTCCCCGAAGCCCACCTCTGCCCCATGTAACACCTTAGTACAACGTGGAGGCCACAGCCTTCCTCCTGGCTGACCCGGCTCACACCAGATCACACTGGAGCAAGGGGCACAGACCGGATGTTACACCCTGCCCCCCCAATAGGAGTCCTGGTGGCACATCAGTTCAGCGCTCACCCGCTGACCAAAAGTTTGGAGGTGTGAACCCACCCACTGTCTCCGCAGAGGAAATAATCTGGGAATCTGTTCCCTTGAAGATTTCTTATTGTTATTTGCCATCGAGTCGGCCCCGACTCCTAGCGACCCCTTCCTTGGGTTTCCGACTCAGTTATCACTATGGAAGTAGGATTGCCCAACCTTTCTTCCGAGGAGTGGCTGGTGGGTTTGAACCGCCAGCCTTCTGGTTAGCAGTCAAATGCCTTCACCACCAGAGCTCCTACCTTCACAGAAGCAAAGCCCAAACCAAACCCAGTGCCTGGAGGGGATTCTGACCCACAGCGCCCCTAGAGGACAGAGTGGAACTGCACCACAGGGTCTCCAAGGCTGTCAGTCTTTATGGGAGCAAAGCCCAAACCAAAGTCACTGTCATTGACTTGACTTGACTCATAGGGACTCCTCCTTGGGTTTCCGAGGTGGTAGCACTATGGATGTAGATTGCCTCATCTTCCTTCTGAGGAGTGGCTGGTGGGTTTGAACCACCAGCCTCCTGGTTAGCAGTCAAGTGCCTTAGGCACTATGCTACCAGAGCCCTTGCAGATTACAGCCTGGGAAACCCTATGGGGCAGTTCTACTCTGTCATAAGGGATGGTGATGAGTTGGAAAACCAACTAGATGACTCCTAGCAGCAACATCCCCTGGCTGTGTGCCTTCGTGCAGTCACCAACATGAACAACAGTACACAGCCACCCTGTCGCCCCAGCCCATGAGCCCCGGGGCCTCTTCCCTAACATTCTCTTCTCTCACCCACAACCAGACTTTACCTCCCCCACCAAGAACCCGGCCTCTCTAGGACTACAGCTTAGTCGGCCTGGGTCCCTTCCACATGCATTAGCGTTCCCTCCCCCACGAGACGCAGAGTCCTTTTTCCCAGGATTCCAATGCTTTCCCTTCCCCAAGTCCAGCACCCACCCCCCCATCCACCTCACCCTACTCATGCATACTTATTGAACATAATTTATTCCTTTGGAGGGGACAGGTGACGCTTTGATAAGACATAAATATTGCACGAGGCCGCTGGCAGTGTTGGGGGGGGTCCAGACCGAGGTAGTTCCTGTGATAGAAATGAAGGACCTGGGTGCAGAAGGCACCTGAGGTGACTGGGGGCCCGAGTAGGAGGGAGTGTCAGGCTGAAAGAGCTCTCTGGGTCCTCCAGACCCCAGCTTTCGGCCCGGCATAGGATTCCCAAGTTTCAGCCTGGACAAGCTGATCACCAGCTGACCAGATGGCCTGCCAGGTAGGTAGGTAGCAGCCATTGATACAAAGATAGGGTTTCCTTTAGAGATTTTGATTGGTTGCTAGGAAGCAGTCATAACTGGCTGCTCAAGGTTGATGGTGCACAGCAGCTGTCATTGGCCGTTTGTCAGGGGCTAAACGGCTCTCATTGGCTGCTGGCTGGGGCCTGGCTTAGCACACAAGACCGCCAATTTGCCTGGGGCGGGCTAAAAAGACAGTGATACGCAGCCTCCTGCAAGGTTTCGCGGTGCCTGGTGGTTTAGAAAAAATAGAGCCTAGCAGCTGTAATCGGCTGGCACCACCGTCCCCCCATCCCCCAGCCAAACCACCACATTTAAGGTGAGGGCGGGACTAAGCAATAGAACCAGCTTTGACTGGCTGTTCATCAGAAACCTAGCAACCGTGGGCTGCCTTGATTGGCTGCTCTGTCTGACCCTCTGGCTAAAGTGGTCGCCCCAGGCCTTGGATGGGGCGGGGCAAAGCGTAGTGGCTATGATTGACAACTCATAGACAAGGCGGGGCTTAGTGCCCAGCCAGGTGGGTAAGCAGTTCTGAGCAAGGAGGTTTGCGGTTAGGGTTTGTCACGGCGGGGTGTGGCCTGTGGCGTCTCAGGAGTGACTGAAGCCAGCTGGTCTAGTTTGGGGAAACCCAGGGGAGGGTAGAGCCCGATGCTTGGGGTCAGGGCTTGCAGGTGGGCCAGGGCCCGAGCTCCGTTGAAGGCCACGTCGCAGCCTGACTGGGCCAGGAGCCAGCTCTCCACCTCCGACTGCAGCCACTGGGACGTCTCTGCAGGGGGGGCAGGGGAGAGGCAGGCGGTGTAAGCAGGTCCGCCAGGGAGGGGGAGGGTGGGGAGGGGGCAGCAGGAGGGGTGCAAAGCAGGGAATCTGAGGGGCCCGGGTTGGAGGGGAGTGCAACAAGGCCTAGGAGCCCTCGGCTCCGGGGCTCTCCTCTGCGGACCCCAGAATCCCTGGTCAGGGAAGGGCGGGGGCTCCAGTCGGGACGGGGTCTGGGGCCTGCACAGGCTCCTGTATGGAAGGGACAAGGGGGATGACACTACTGGAGTCTGATTCGGGGCCCTCAGGGAGGTTGGACTCAGTAGAGGGAGGTCTGGCCTTGGAGGCGCCAGGTCCAAAATCAGATTCAGGGGTCTATGGGGGAGGAAGGCGGGGAGCAGAGAAACGCCGGAAGTTGAGCTCAGGGTCCTCTGTGCAGAAAAGCCAGGACCAAGCCTGACGGCTGGCTCAGGAGTTTCTAGAGGTGGCTGCATGACGTAGCATATTGGGCTCAGGGAGCCCCTCTGCTGAGCACCTCGGAAATCAGATTTCCCAGTGGTAGCCAAGTGGAAGCAGGGTGGGATCTCACTTAAGCGGTGGCCCTCGGGACTGAGTGAGTGAGCGCCCGGCTGCGTCTCAACTAGGCAGGCAGGGCGGGGCGGGGGCTCCAAGCGAAAGGCAAGGCCCGCCTGGGACCGGGAGGGTCCTCCTGGGGGAGGCACAGGGAGCCCTCTGGGGCCGGGCCACCGGGACGGGGGCTCCAGGGCCCGCGTCCTACCTTGCGGCGGGCCGCTCGCGCCCCCTGGCCGCCGTGCCAGAAAGCTGCGCGCCAGCAGCGCCTCTTTGGCGTGCTCCTCCTGCGCGCGCAGGGTCAGGGCGCTGAGCAGCTCCGAGTTGTTGGACGTGCTGCGGAAGTAGAGCATGTGCGCCAGCTCCAGCGCCTGCGCGCTGCGCCGCTGCCCGAACATCTGCAGGAGGGACAGCGGCGGAGCGGGCTGAGCGGAGTGGGCTGAGCGCAGAGATGCGAGGAGGGCGGGGCCTCGGGTGCTCCGCCCCACACGTCCGCCCAAAACCACGCACCCCCTCGGCCACTGAAGTGGGTGTGATGCTTTCTGCCTATCAGGATGGACGGACGGTTCGAGGCTTCGGGGCTGGGACCTGGAAATCTGCGTGCAATACACAAGGTGCTCACCCCAGTGGCCAGCCCCCACCCTGGTGAAAAGACTAGAAATCCCTGCCTTGGTCTGCTCATCTTATGAATGGAAGAGTGCCAAAGTATGACTTGAAAGTAAAAAATCCATTCCATTGCTGTCCAGTCGAATTCGGACTGATAACGACCTCGTAAGGCAGACTAAAATTTCCCAATAGGGTTTCCACGGGAGCACAGAGCGGTACCCTTCTCCTGCGGAGGGCATCGCCCTGACCTGGTTAGCAGGTGAGCTATCAACCACTGCGCAACCAGGGCTCCTCGGCCTTAAGTGGATGCCACCTGAATTTAAAAACCAACTCAAAAATAGATTTGACACACTGAGTGCTAGTGACTGAAAACCAGATGAGTTGTGGGGTGACATCAAGAACAAGATGACAAAGGGAGCAAAGGGTCGTTGTTGTTATGTGCCATCAAGGCTGACCTGACTCATAGACACCCCTCCTTGGGTTTCCGAGGAAGTATCACTACAGAAGTATAGATTGCCCAACCTTCCTTCCGAGGAGTGGTTGGTGGGTTTGAACCACCAGTCTTCTGGTTAGCAGTCAAGTGCCTTAGGCACTGCACCACCAGAGCTCCTACCTTCACAGAAGCAAAGCCCAAACCAAACCCAGTGCCTGGAGGGGATTCTGACCCACAGCGCCCCTAGAGGACAGAGTGGAACTGCACCACAGGGGCTCCAAGGCTGTCTTTATGGGAGCAAAGCCCAAACCAAAGTCACTGCCATTGACTTGACTTGACTCAGAGCGACCCCTCCTTGGGTTTCTGAGGCGGTATCACTATGGAAGTCGATTGCCCAGCCTTCCTTCTGAGGAGTGGCTGGTGGGTTTGAACCTCCAGCCTCCTGGTTAGCAGTTATGTGCCTTAGGCACTAAGCTGCCAGAGCTCCTAAAAGGTCATTAAAAAGATGGTAAAGAAAAAAAAGGTATGTCAGAAGAGATGCTAGAACTTGCTTTTGAATTGCAGAATAGCTAAAACAAAAGAAAGAAAAGGTCAAGTAAAAGAGCCGGACAGAAGACTTCAAAGGGCAGCTCGAGAAGACCATATTATAATGAAATGTGCAAAAACCTTGAGTTAAAACAGCAAAAGGGAAGAACAAGCTAGACATCTCTCAAGGTGAAAGCTTCAAGTTCCAATACTGAAGAATTCTATGGGCAAAATATTGAACAGCACAGGAAAATTCAAAAGAAGATGGAAGGAATACACAGAGTCATGGTACCAAAAAGAATGTGTTGACATTCACCCATTACTGGGGACAGTATATGATTAAGACCCGATGGTATAAAGGAAGGGATCCAAGCTGTACTGAAGGCACTGGCAGAAACAAGTCTCCAGGAATTGATGGAACGCCCACAGAGATGTTTCAACAAACATACAGTGCTGAAAGAGTTCACCTGTGGACGCCAAGAAATTTGCAAGACAGCAAACTGGCCATCCGACTAGAAGAGATCTGTATTTCTGTCCATTCCAAAGAGAATGATTCAACAGAATGTGGAAATTTCTCAAACAATATCATTACTATCACATGTGAGTAAAATTATTCTGAAGATAATTCGAAAACGGTTGCAGCAGCAATACATGAGCAGGAAACTGCCAGAAATTGAAGCTGGATTCAGAAGAGGATGTGGAACACGGGATATCATTGCCAATGTTAGATGGATCCTGGCTGGAAGGAGAGAATATCAGAAAGATGTTTACTTGGGTTTTATTGACTAGGTAAAAGCATTCAACTGTGGATCGTCACAAATTATGGATAACATTGCAAGGAATGGGAATTCTAGTGTACTTAATTGTGCTTGTGTGGAACCTGTATATAGATCGAAAAGCAGTTGTTTGGAAAGAACAAGGGAATGTTGCGTGGTTTAAAATCAGGAAATATGTGCGTCAGGTTGTACTTATTCGGTGTATAAACTAAGCAAACAATCTGAGAAGCTGGATGACGTGAAGAAGAACATGGCGTAAAGACTGGAGAAGACTCATTAACAACCTTCAATACACAGACAACACAACTTTGCTTGCTGAAGGTGAGGATGACTCAAAGCACTTCCTGACTGTGGGAAAATGACGACTTAATATGCTTTCCCACTATGATCTTTGTGACGTCCACACAATAAGTGGGCAGGACTATGCAAATAAGAGGTGCTCATAGCCAACCAAGGAGATCAGACATCTTAAGGCTAATGCAAACAAGGTGTATGGAACCATGATTAAGGTTATATGTCAACATGGTTGGGCCACGATTTTCAATGGTTGCCAGTTAGGTAATGATATCGTCACACTCCATTTTGTGGTCTGATGTAATTTCTCTTCATTTTGTGACATGTTGTAAATCCCAGCCTCTATGCTTGTGGTTATGGTCCCATTTGGGAGTGAGTTGTCCATTATGTTAATGAAGTGGGATTAGGGTGGGATGTAAACTAAGTCACCACCTCACTAGAGACAGGGCGGCCTGCCCCAGAGGCAGGAAAGAGAGGGGAACTCTGGGACGACAAAGTGACAGGATCCAGGTAAGGGGAGGGCAGAGAGGTTTCAAACAGCTAAAGGAGATGAACTTGTCTGTCAGTTTGTCCTACTGTGGGGCTTGCACGTGGCTCTGAGGCTTCAGGCTGTGCCACTGGTGTTTCAAATGCCAGCAGGGATGCACATGGTGCACAGGTATCAGCCCAGCTTCCAGACTGAGACAGACTAGGAAGAAGGAAGAGGCCATCCACTTCTCAAAGAATTGGCCAGGGAAAACCTTATGAATAGCAGGGAAACACTGTCTCATACATTATGCGCAACTTTATGAATAGCCCAGAAACCTTCTCCAATACAGTGCAGGAAGATGAGCCCCTTAGGTCAGAAGGCACTCAAAATACAACTGGGAAAGAGCTGCCTCATCAGAGTAGAACCAACCTTAATGATATGGATAAAGTAAAGCTTTGAGGACCTCCATGTGCTGACATGGCATGACTCAAATTGAGGAGAAACAGCTGCAAACATCCATTAATAATTGGAACATGGAATGTAAGAAGTGTGAATCTAGGAAAATTGGAAGTTGTCAAAAATGAAAAGGAACGCATAAAGATTGATATCCTAGGCATATCAATGAAGTGAGCTGAAATGGACCACTTTTTGCCATTTTGAATCAGACAACCATATGATCTACTTATGCCGGGAATGACAATTTGAAGAGGAATGGCATGGCATTCATCATTGCAAAGGATGTTTCAAGATCTGTCTTGAAGTACAATGCTGTCAGTGATAGGACAATATCCACATGCCTACAGGGAAGACCAGTTAATGTATGCACCAACCACCAAAGCCAAAGGTGAAGAAATTGAAGATTATTATCAACTTCTGCAGTCTGAAATTGACCAAACATGCAATCAAGATATGTTAATTATCACTGGTGACTGGAATACAAAAGTTGGCAACAAAGAAGAATCACCAGTAGTTGGAAAATTTGGCCATGGTGACAAAAATAAGGAAAATTTGGCCATGGTGACAAAAATAACACTGCACGTTGCATGACAGAATTTTTCAAGACCAACAACTTATTCATCACAAACACCTTTTTCAACAACACAAATGGTGGATATACATGTGGACTTTGCCAAATGGAACACACAGGAATCAGACTGACTACATCTGTGGCAAGAGGTGATGGAAAAGCTCAATATCTTCAGCCAAAAC